AATAAAAGTTTCACATGGTGGTACTGTGAACTACCTAAAAGATAAGAAAAAGAACTATAATAACAGCTCTTCCTCCAAATCATCTAGAAAGGGTCCCATGCAACAGTCTCAGAACAAGCAATTCCCAGTGGATAAAGATCAGTGTCTCTACTATAAGAAGACGGGACATTATAAGAAGAATTGTCCCGATTTCCTAAAGATGATAATGAAAAATAAAGGTGAGAACATTATTACGTTCGTAAATGAATCCTTGTATGTCAAGTTTTCAAAATCTACTTGGTGGATTGATTTAGGTGCAACTATTCATGTTGTTAATTCATTACAGGGATTCCGTTCGATGAGAACTTTGCAAAGAAGCGAAAGTTTCATTAAAGTCGCAAATGGAGTATAAGCAGATGTTGAGGCCGTTGGCGATCTTCCGCTAGAGTTTGCTGATGGCTTCATACTTTTTCTTAGAGATGTTCTTTATGTACCTTCTTTGCAAAGAAACTTGATTAATGTATCAAAGTTGGACCATGATGGTTATGGTTGCCATTTTGGAAATGGCAAATGTCAGATATTGTTTAATAATAGATGTATTGGTCTTGCCTTCCGACAAGACGAGCTTTATTTGTTATCACTTCGTGAAAATGTGAATTCCGTATGTGATGTGAATGATAATGTATCCTCATCGAACAATGCAAACAGAAAACGAAAGAGAGCTCACGATGCGTTGTCGAAATTATGGCACTGTCGTTTAGGCCATATTTCGAGGGGGAGAATAGAAAGACTAGTTAAGAATGATATTCTTCCTCCATTGGAGCTCTCAGATTTAGAACAATATAGAGATTGCATAAAAGGAAAGTATGCAAAGAAAATTAAGAAAGATGCCAAACGAAGCGCAGGAATTCTACAGATTATTCACACAGATATCTGTGGTCCTTTTCCTGTAAAGAGTGTGGATGGTTTTGATTTATTCATAACATTCACAGATGATTACTCCCGTTATGGCTACATTTATCCAATTAAAGAAAGAACAGAAGCGTTGGATAAATTCAAAATATTTAAAACAGAAGTTGAAAATCAGCATGATTTAAAGATTAAGATAGTCAGGTCTGACCGTGGGGGGGAGTACTACGGTCGGCATACCCCATATGGACAAGTTCCTGGACCTTTTGCAAGGTTCTTACAGAAGAATGATATAGTCGCCCAGTATTCAACACCGGGCGAACCTCAGCAGAATGGAGTAGCTGAAAGGCGTAATCGTACCCTGATGGATATGGTGCGTAGTATGATAAGTTACTCCACTTTGCCGATGAGTCTGTGGATGGAGATGTTAAAAACCGCCATTCATATTCTCAATAGAGTACCAAGTAAGTCGGTGCCCAAAACACCGTATGAGTTGTGGACAGGAAGAGTACCCTCACTTAACCACTTGTGTGTGTGGGGGAGCCCTACTGAGGCTAAAGTTTTTAACCCAAACATTGGGAAGCTAGATCCCAAAATAGTGAGTTGCCATTTCATTGGCTACCCAGAAAAGTCAAAAGGTTTTCGTTTCTACTGTCCAGATAGACATACAAAGTTTGTGGAAACGAGACACGCTGTCTTCCTAGAGGATAAAATGATGAGGGGAGCATGGTAGCTCGAGAAATTGACCTTGAAGAGAAGCGGGTGTATGCACCCACTCCAATCATTCATGAGCTATTTTTCTCACTACCTGCTGTTGTTGCACCGACAGTACAAGAGATTGTGGTGCCAGCACCTGTTGTTATCCCGCCTATGGCAACAATGAATGACGATGAGGAACCTGTGCCTCAGGATCCTATAGAACCTATTGCCACACATGAGGGGGAGCAACAATAGCCTCAAACAAAAAATGTGCCAAATGAGGAGGCCCCTAGAAGGTCTCAAAGAGTTGGAAAATCAGCTATTCCTGCTGATTATGAAGTGTACAACACTGATGAATTTCAAATGGAGGATGATCCCACCTCATTTGAAGAAGCCATGAAAAGTGATCATTCATCAAAGTGGCTTGAGGCCATGGAAGATGAAATGAGATCAATGAATGCAAATAAAGTTTGAGATTTGGAGATAATTCCTAAAGGAGCCAAAACAGTAGGCTGTAAATGGGTCTACAAAATAAAACTTGACTCTCAAGAGAATATAGAGAGATATAAAGCCCGACTTGTGGCAAAAGGCTTTACACAAAGAGAAGGGATTGATTACAATGAGACCTTTTCTCCAGTCTCATGTAAGGATTCCTTCAGAATCATAATGGCATTAGTGGCACATTACGATTTAGAATTACATCAGATGGATGTAAAGACGGCATTTCTCAACGGAGACTTAAAAGAAAATATTTACATGGCACAACCGAAAGGTTTTGTCATGGAAGGAAAAGAACGTTTAGGATGCCGCCTAAAGAAATCCATTTATGGATTAAAACAAGCTTCAAGACAGTGGTACTTGAAGTTTGATCAGACAATAAAGAATTTTGGGTTTAAAGATAATGTTGAGGACAATTGTGTCTACGCAAAGTTTAAGAATGGGAAGTTTATCTTCCTTGTCCTGTATGTGAATGATATCTTACTTGCTAGTAGTGATGTCAGTCTACTACTGGAAACAAAGAAGTTTTTGTCCTCAAAATTTAATATGAAAGATCTTGATGAAGCTTCGTTCGTTCTAGAGATCGAGATTCACCGAGATAGAAGTAAAGGGGTATTAGGACTGTCACAAAAAGCATACATAGAAAAAGTCTTAAAGAAATTTAGTATGCACAAATGTAGTCCCTCACCTGCTCCTATAGTCATGGGCGACAGATATGAGGATTTTCAATGCCCCAGGAACCAATATGAGATCGATCAAATGAAAGTGGTTCCATATGCTTCAGTTGTCAAAAGCTTGCAATATGCTCAAGTGTGTACGCGCCCTGACTTAGCATTTGTTACCGGGTTACTTGGCAGATTCCAGAGCAATCCTAGAATAGAATACTGAAAATTGGTAAAGAAAGTCTTGCGTTATTTGCAAGGAACGAAAGGCCTCATGATGACGTATAGAAGATCAGATTCACTCCATACAGTGGGATATTCAGATTCTGATTATGCGGGAGATAATAGAAAATCCACATCTAGATATGTGTTCACTCTCGCAGGGGGAGCTATTTCATGAAAAAGCTCAAAGCAAACCGTCACTACATCGTCCACAATGTATGACGAGTTTGTAGCGTGTTATGAGGCAACGGGGCAGGTGAACTGGCTAAAGAAGTTTATACCCGGTTTGAAGGTGGTTGACGACATCAATAGACCACTGAAGTTATACTGTGATAATAATCCAGCAGTACAGTATGTTCACAACAATAGGTCAAGTGGTGCTGCTAAACACATTGACATAAAGTATTATGTTGTGAAGGATAAAGTCCGGGATCAAATGATAAGTCTTGAGCATATAAGTACCGAAAAGATGCTCGCGGATCCGCTTACAAAAGGCTTACCACCCAACGTGTTCAGAGAACATGTAGCCGGCATGGGTTTAAGGGAAAGCCTATGATTCCTGGACTATAAAGGGCCCAAAAGTTAAAGTAACTATTTCAGATCAGAGACGTGCATTGTAGCTGTTAAATCTATCGGCGATTGACCGTAACGATGAAACATGCTCTATGCATCATCTGTGAAGAAATAAGTAAGGATAAAAGGATTGAAGTTTAAAGTTTAAAGATAAAAGTAATAGTGTGAGATCAAGGGGGGGAATGTTAGATTGATCTCCCAGCCAATAAGCCCAACGGCCTATTGGGCCTTGGTCACGCGCACTGATCGGGGGCGCCCAACCCTACATGGTTGGTGGGCCCCCGTCGCACTGCGCTATATAAAGTGGTGGGGGCCGGTGGCTCGAGGTACGAGGTTCACCGTGAGCCGCAAACCCCACCTACAAACCCTAGACCGATCTGAGAGGGCGCGCAGCCAGCAACGGGAAGCTCCACTGACTACGCCGTCGTCACTGCCACACCGTCCGTCTGCACTGCATCGACGTCTGTGCCACCTCTACTCCACCCGTCGCTGCCCGTGCGCAGACCTTCATCACCGAACCTGAGATGGCCGGCTCCAGTTCATCCGCGACTCCCTCCGAGGGCTCAGGTTCAACACCAACACCTCTCTCTCTATCTCTCTGTCTCCACCTCTCGGTCTAGATGTACTAGGGCTTATCTAGATTAACTGGTTACCTAGAAGTCCCTCGGTTCTACTCTAGATCGTTTCTATGGATATAACATGCGGCAGCCGTGTAATATGCACAATTTCACTGGCCGGTCCCGCACCAAACGGTGAAAAACAAACGGAACACGAATGGAATGGCCTGTAAGGCAAAGAAGTTTAGAGCAGTGGCACCTGTGTGCGGTCAATTTTTTTAATGGCTTGTGTGTAATTACAGACTTTTTTAATGGCACACATGTAAAAGCCTCTTTAATCTATCACCATCTCATTCCTCACAAACTAATAATTAGTATATGCATGAGGAATTGGTTGATTTCACCAAATTCGTGGAATGAAATCATGATGCACCACCTTGAAGTATGGGTATTCCACAAACCAAACACACCATTAGTGATCGTCTCAAAACCAAACGTTGTGCTACGTATTATGCTGCCATTCCATTTCATACTCTAACCAGACATTTTTTTTATTTACTCGCTCTGCATTCCCAATCCATTCTAGTGGTTTCAGAACTTTGTTCATCATAGCCAATAACTGAGTGATCACAACATCTAATGCATTAGTACCAGTACTTGAGCTAGTAACAACTCAGAAAGCACATTCGTTTTACACTTGCTTTTGCTTTTCCACAATACTTCTACAAACTGATTAGAGCGTACATGTTACTAGTACTTAAAAAAAAGTAGGCGGGGGATGGGTACTTATCTTCCTCATAATCTACTTTTTATAATGTGCAAGAAACTGTACAGAATGTAGTGTAATACTAGCCGAACTCAAACTGGTACCTCTAGTGAAAAGTATATCTACTCTGTTTATTCACCGAACTGCAGTACCATCATGTGTAACTGGATGGTAACTGCTATGCCTTGGCTGACTTTTGCCAGCATTGGTGCTTTCCAGGCATGAGACTACTTCCATTATAGATGGCCTCATGGAAGGGTTATGGTTCACACACTTACAAGCAACTTCTAGCATCATCAGCATTTGCTCTTCATGCCCTGTGCCACGGAGTGTTGGATCCAGGACCTCAATCTGCTTTCCCTGAGACCTCATCTCCAGCACCCACGGGATAAGTTCTTTTGACGTTGACAGGACTGGAACAGGTCGCAATCCTGTGAGGAGCTCAAGTAGGACAACTCCAAAGCTGTATATATCACCTCTCAGAGTAGCCACCCACCCATGCCCATACTCAGGGGGAATGTAACCAAGAGTGCCAACTAGCTCGGTCGTAACATGAGTTTTGTTGGGCAGGATCAGTCTTGACAGCCCAAAATCTGCAACATAAGCTTTGAATTTTTTGTCAAGCAGTATGTTGCTGCATTTTATGTCACGATGCACAATGTGTGGCTTGCAGACATTATGGATGTAGGAAAGACCACAGCTTGCTCCTTGGGCAATCCTCAGCCTCGTCGGCCAGTCAAGAAATGTGCTAGCATCATCATCCCTGTTGTGAAGCCAATCATCCAGACTGCCATTTTCCATGAAAGAATATATGAGGAACCTAGAGTTTCCATGATTGCAATAACCCCACAGTGGCACAAGATTTTCATGCTGAGCCATGGAGAGTGCTTCAACCTCAGCAGTGAACTCCCTTTCCACAAGGCACATCTCACCGTTGAGCTTCTTAATTGCAAATTTGGATCCATCAGGTAGCTCGGCCTTAAATACTAGTCCATAACCTCCACACCCAACAATGTTCTCCTTGCCAAAATTATTTGTTGCCTTCACAATGTCAGTGAATGTGAGCTTGTTTTCATCTCCGTTGCTTCCTGGCACCATCACCAACGAATGCCCTGAATTGGAGCTGAATGATACCGCTTCTATATCGCTATTATTGTTGCTCCTGTTTATGGTGGTGAAAGTCTTACCCCGTAACAAGACTAGTAGGCGAGCTAGCACTAACAGGATGGCGATACCTCCAAAAAATACACCAAATGCAAGTGCAAATATAGCTGTCTTGTTATCTACTTTTTTCTTGGGGGTGAAAGGTGCTCCAGCTGAACTGCAGTGCTGAATAAGCATAGGACCACAGAGCTTCGGGTTGCCACCAAAGCTGGAATTTGTAAATGTACTAAACTGGCCTGTGGTCGGCACAGGCCCTTCTAGGTCATTGAAAGAAACATTGAATTGAGTAAGGAAGTGTAGATTGTTCAGCGCTCCAGGGATTGCACCAGTTAGATAGTTGCTTGACAAGTCAAGCTCCAACAAGTTGGTGAGGTTGGAGATCGATTGGGGGATATCCCCATATAGTTTGTTGAAGCTCAAATTAAGTGACTGGATCTTTTTTAAGAGACCGATCTCTGGAGGGATCACACCAGTGAAACTATTGTTTCCTAGGTCGAGCAGTATTGGAAAAGCATTCACCTTGCTGTATTGAAGTGATGTGCCTAAATAAATTGGTACTTCAAAGACTCTTGGATCCAAAGGTGCCGCAGTCTTCTCCGATTTTAGCATCGGCATCTCTGTTAACGCTGTAGGAATTCCCCCTGTCAGACTGTTATTTGATATTTGTAGATAGAACAGGAAGTTTAGGCTGCTTATCCAGTCAGGAATCGGCCCAGTTAGTTGATTGTCATCTAAAGATAACATCTGCAAATTTGTTAGCTTCGATAACCAATAAGGTATTTCCCCCAACAATGAGCATCCAGTCAAGGAAAGAATCTGAAGATTCTCAAAACCATCAATGCTTTCATCATCTGGCATGGTCTCGTTCATGAAGTTGAGTCCAATAAGAAGGGTGGTGAGGTTTTTGGAGCTCTTTAGTATCTGAAGTGCATTTGCCAAATTCGTAAAACTGTTGCCAGTAAGTGAAAGGAACGAGAGTGACTTCAGATTGCCTAGTCCCTCTGATAACTGACCATGGAAATTATTATAAGCTAGACGCAGTGCAGTTAGTTTGTGGCATGAGTATATGGTTTCTGCAATTTTGCCACTGAAGTTATTCTCCATAAGATCCAAGATTTGTAGATTGGGTAAGTTGGAGAAATTGACCTTGGTGAGTTCTCCACTGAAATTGTTGTTCTTGAGGTCGATGTTTGTGAGATTTGTGCAGTTGCTCAGGGCTGATGGCAGCTCCCCAGAGAAGCTGTTGTAGCCCAAATGAAGTTCCTGCAATTTCTTGAGCTGAAGTAGGGACTCGAGTACCTTTCCGCTGAAATTATTTTCTCCAAGATCAAGGATGACCAGATTAGTGAGATTGGCTATATGTGTGCCCTCAAGTATTCCATGTAAACCGTTGCTGGAAAAAGTGAGATGCTCCAACAAGGTCGCATTGAAGAGTTCATCAGGGAGAGTCCCACTGAGGTGGTTGTGGCCAGCCTTGAGCACTTTGAGCTTGGAGCAATTACTGAGTCCTGGGGGGATACTGCCACTGAGTTTGTTGTAACAGAGTTCAAGGATAGCAAAGTTTGGTGATATGTTACAGAAATGACTTGGAATCTGCCCAGTAAAGCTGTTGTTGCTGGCATTGAGCGCCACTAGATTCTCCATCCCCTTCCATGTTGCGATTGTAAACTGCCCTGTAAACAAGTTGCTTGAGATGTTGAGTACCTTTAGAGGTTGGCTAGAGGTCGAAGACGGTAGTTCATGCAAGTCTCCACTGATTTGGTTAAAGCTGATGTCAAGGACAATGATACTGCTGGATGACACCAATTCCTGGGGCAGGTTACCGGACAGCGAATTGTAGGACAAGTTAAGATGCTGCAGGCCGGTGAGGTTGCCAAGAGACGTGATGCTCCCTTCAAGGCCTCTAGATGGCAGAGAAATCTCAATGACTGTCTTGTTTCCATTGCAGGTGACCCCTTCCCATTTGCAGCAATCAGTGCCTTCTTCCTGCCATGACTTGGCAAGACCAGAATCTTGAGAGAGCCCAGCAAGGAACTGGAGGAGAGATTTCTTCTCCTGCTCCGTGCAAGAACTGATGGGGGTGGCCAAGGAGAGCAGCAGCACAAGAGAAACAGCAAGGACAGGTAGGGGTAAACTAATGTTGTATTTCTTGTATGAAAAATGGAGTGGCTGCATGGCTTCCTATTGAAACTAGCATGGAAACCAGATGCTTAATTTGTGCCCAATCTAGACAAAGTTATAATGGTCTAACCGGGGAGGAACATAAGGTAGAAGAACAGGCTGCTGGTTCCATCTTGCTGGTCCCTTCTAGTAGTGTCCACCACAAAGAAAAATAGAGGCAAGGATTAGATGGTACAACAAAGTCTTCATTATGATTCTATTATATGCAACAGAGAAATCAGCTCGCTTGTTCACACCTAGATGTTTCATTGGTGCCCCCCCCCCTAAAAAAAAAGAAAAAGAAAAAGAAAAAAGTGAGTAGTGGCTGCACTGGAATTTTTTGAATTTGACCAAATTTTGTATTGTTGGCCCCTCTAACAAAAAAACGCATTTTTTGCTCTGTTTAAGACAAAAATAAATAAATTAGAATCACTAATCGATGCACCCTTTTTGTTGAACAGGAAAAGGTCCGTATCTCTGAAAGCCACAATTGCCGAAGATCTGCATCTGCAATACCCGATTGGCCTGAGAGTACGCAAAGCGCATGATTCCGAAAGACGCCTACAATTTAGAGCAATCATCGGGTTGACGGTCAAGGTGTGTACATGGTTTGGACTTTTAGGCGCAAGTGGAGGCAAGAAAAATAAGAAAGCAATTGAGGTGGTGGTGACAGGGCGAGGGCGACCTGGTGGCTGGTGCCTGATGCCCTTTTCTTCTGACTGGCTGATGCGCATGGCTGTTTTCCATAGCCCAGGTTCCAGAGGCGCATATGATGAACCTTTGGTCCTCGGCTGGTGTTGCTGACTGGAATTCAAAAGCGCTGGAATGGAAGTAACAGCCATGGAGAGCGTGGAAGCTGGTGCTACTGTGAAGTGTGAACATGGCCTATCAAATTTATTCATTCAGGTGGTGATGCCAATAATCTCGTGTATTTGCAATTGCCTTTGTTTGGGTTTACGTTTCACCAATAATTTAATAATTTACTTTTCCTCCGTTTTGGTTTACCTGTCTGTGGTCATCGTGATATTGTACTTCCCTCTGTTTGGGTTTACATGTCACCAATAATTTACTGACCTACTGCAGAACGGTCAAAATCGCTAAGTAAAAAGGTGATGTCGAATAAACCCAAACGGAGGGGAAGTAATTTTTTATTGGTTGAGATTATGTTGATGATTATGCTTACTTGGTTACAGTATTAGTGTGCGCAATTGCACATTTTATATTGGCTCTTAGTAGCTGTTGTATGATTATCTGTAATCACGTCACGGGTGACTGACTATTTTCTCGTGGTGTTGATTATTGCAGAACAGAACATCATGTAGCTGGCTGAGCCGAACAATCTGCTGAGCAGGCGTTGCGTCCCTATGGCCATTTGTTTGTGCAGATGTACCTGGTTTGTCTGCTCCTTTGCATTCACGCTCAGTTTGTTTATTTTCCTCACTCAGACACATCGTAACTTAGCCCTTGTTTAATTGTAGGAATTTGGATTTTGGGGCTACTGTAGCACGTTTATTTTTATTTGGCAAATAGTATTCAAGCATAGACTAATTAGGCTCAAAACGTTCGTCTCGCAATTTCCCACCAAACTGTGCAATTAGTTTTTCTTTTCATCTACATTTAATGCTCCATGCATGGGCCGTAAACATTCGATGTGACAGATACTGTAACAACTTTTTGAAATTTGGGTTCCAACTAAACAAGGGCTTAACACAATGCATCAGGTATTCAGGTGGAGAGGCAATTGGAGGAAGATGGGAGGGAGATGGAGCTGAAGATGGTGCGAGGGGCTGGCGTACGAGTGCCGGCTTGCACTCTGGAGTGCAGGTGCAGCCAGCCAGACCGGGTAGTGGGCCGCTGTACTCCACGGACCACGGCTGGCAGTGGCAACTGTCAAGTCAAGGCAGTGAGCGGATCGCCATCGGACGGAGCGCGCAGCGTACCGTACGCGTCCAGGCTCCAACGAGCGGCATGCGCGCGTGGACGCGGTCTGGTCAGCGCACAGCCCTCAACTCACGACTGCCAAACCGGCGGGCGGCCGGGCGGCGGCGACGCGACACATGCCAGAAGACGCGTCGTCGCACGCCCGTCAGCCACTCAGCCGTCCGCGCCGCGTTCTTGTGTTCCACCACCCATCGCGTACGTACGTAGTACGTGCTCCGTTCATCATCATGAGTCTGAAAGTCTAAAAGGCCTTACCTTCTCCGATTCAAAGTCGTCCCAACTCCGAGAACGGGCTGAAATATTGGGGGAGATGGTGGCGACGTCCGACGTGACGTGAAAACGGGCTGTACTGTACTGCCATGTACGTAGGCGCGTGCGTACGGCGTACCGATACCCAACCCAACGTGTCTCTGTGCCGGGATGTTTCAGAATGCAAATCTAGCCAGCAAAAGGCAATACATATCTTGGTATTTAAGGTTATAATGAGATATTAAGGTTCATAGTATATTGTCCGTGCTAACGCTACGGTAAAAAAAAAGGACAATATGTTTCTTTGAAATAGTACGCTACGGTAAAAGACAATAAGCACATGTGCGCAAGTTTTAGTAACATAGTATCCCCAAACATAATTAATCATATCGATAAAAACAAACGGTGTAACTACTACTATAGTTTATTGCTAATAACAGCTTATTGGAGTAAGCCATCTATTCATCGAAGTCGCGAAATTGGTAAAAGTGTTTCCCTATATAAGAGGCTAGCAACACGTAAGTTGTAGGCTTGCAGTGATGCCCATCAATTAAGTTTTGCTTGCAATCTAAATTTAAAGAAAGTTACAATCTATGAATCGATGGCATCTTACAGCATCTCCAGCAGCTCACCAATAGTTCATCCCCAATAAAATAGTATTGGTAGTCATCAATACTACTTTTTTTAATATTGGCGAAGATGCTCCAGCAGATCACCAGCAACATCCTCCAATACATGGAATCCACGTGTCAAAATGGAGGATGGGAGGAAAAAGAGGATGGCTATTGTGGTCCCAGCATTATTGGGGGAGATGCAACTACCCCTTTATTTGAGGGAAGATAGAAAAGGGAGAGCTTTTGGGGAGCTACTGGAGCAAAAGAAATTGCCCCATCTCTCCCAATATAACAGTTTTATGGGAATGGGGGATAGTATTAGGGAGCTGCCAAAGATGCTCTTATATCATCAGCTATAAGTGAATTATTTCCTTTGCACCTCTTTTATAGAACAAATCAAACCCTACACAAGCAGATGAAGACAGAAGTTGTCTACGTACTCAGCGTGTTGTCCAGCTATCAACTTATGACACATCATGTCTCAAAGCGAAAAAGGAATCACAAAGGGAATAGAAGGAGGAGGATAAGCAAACCTGTTCTTGCAAGGTTGCAAGCACGATCAGGGGAGTTCAGGATCTCATAGTAGAACACTGAAAAGTCAAGCGCAAGCCCAAGCCTTTATTAGACCATGTTTAGAACGTGGGAGTGGTATGTGTGGCCACTTGACCCGTGCACTGTATTCCATTTTAACGATCGTTCGTTGCACACCAGCCTGTGATTTTTCTTCCTAGGAATTATTTGTTTCTTCAACTTTCTATTTTTAGAAAGTTACACTCAATTTTTTTGTGCCTGATATTTTGTGAGATCAAACTTGCTACTATAACTTTTTATCGTAACTTTTTCAAAACAGTTTATTGACATAATTTTAACATTTTGCAAGACTAAACTTATTACTATAACTTTTCATCATAACTTTTTCAAAATAATTTATGGACATAATTTTATAGACAAACTTAATACCACACTTCGTATCTTACCTTTTTCAATACATATTTTTGATAATTTTATAGATAATCTCATCATGACAACTTTTGACTAGGATGTTTTCTTTTTTTTAAAAAAATGAAAAGGGGAGCTTCATATATTAAACTATATTGATACAACTTTTCATAATGACATTTTATATATTAACTAATTCTGTTTTACGATGGTCATTCAGAGCGGACGACGATCATGGCCCCGCTCTATGTAGTTATCACTTTTTCCTCATTTTCTTTTTTCTTTTTATTCTTCCTTTTATCCATTTTTATATCAACCAACCAATTTTTTTCTTCTATATACAATGAATAGTCTTCTTTTTTGATTCATAAGTTTGTCAAAAATTGTTCACAACAAAAAGTTTGTCAAAAATTATGTAAAGTAATTGTGTTGGCCAACAAAAACTTATGTGTATAAGTTATGTCAGTGGTGGATCCAGGATTTAATGGAAGAGGGGGCTGAACGCCGAAGTCATCCTCAACCTCTAGAGCCCCCGTTTCTCTTTTTTATGTCTAAAAAATTAGGAGGGGCTCTATTGTCATGGAGGTGGTAGGAGGGGCTTGAGCCTCACCCACCCCACCGCTAGATCCGCCCCTAAGTTATGTTATTTGTAAAATTTACTATATGAAATTATGCTAGAAAATTGTGTTAAGAATTTTTTATGATATTTTTTGTTGTTGATATTTATGAACAAATATTGGGTTGCAAAGGTAATTAAAAAATATGTTGAGCAACGGATGAGCACAAACTGTGGTTTAGTTTTTTTTATGACATCTTTTTGTTGATAGTTATAAACAAATATTGGGTTGCAAAGTTAATTAAAAAATATGTTGAGCAACGGATGAGCACAAACTGTGGTTTAGTTTTTTTTTGAGGGGAACAAACCGTGGTTTAGTGAGAGAATTGCTCCCTACAGTAAGATTCCAGCCCAAACCACTCGCTTTGCAGCCCAAACATGCTGTCCAAACACAGCCCATGTATCATGGATCCCGACACTCACCGGCCACGGCCCAGCCCAGTTCATCGTTTCCTTTCGCAGCCTTCACAGCTTCGGCCTTCAGGCGAACCACCGCCCAAGTTCCAAGCGGAGCGATAGGCAACGGCGGGGGAACCCATGCGCACGCGCTCCAGCATACGGTGGCCGTGGGCTCGAGTACAAGCTCATGCAACGCGCCCGATGGCCTCCGCTCTGCTCCCAAGGTAATAGACTCCAATCACCACGGACACGGAGTA